CCTTTAAATAACTAATGAGCCAAGTCTGGGTCATTGGGGGATAGATTGACCAATAAAGCTTCTGATATCAAGAAGTACAAGTCTGGAGGGGATAGCAGAGTAGTGGACATACAGTTAGACTAGACCAGTGGTTGGTAAACTGCGGCTCTCGAGCCACATGTGGCTCTTTGGCCCCTTAAGTGTGGCTCTTCCACAAAATACCACAACTTGGGTGAGTCTTCTAATTTACTCTTGAGAGGGTGCCAAAAATTAGGGAGCATTGAAGAAGGGGAGGATCTGTCCAGAGCTGACAAGCAAAGGAAGAGGTGAGTCATAGAGATAAGAGGAAACACAGGAGAGATATTATATTACAGTAGGAAAAAACTTGGACTTTAGAGTCAGGGCAACCACATTTTGAATTCCAGCCTTATTTCTTACCAGTTGGGTAACTTTGGGGGAGTAACGTTACTGATGACATTGCTTACCATGGTGGTGATGACAGACGTAGTGGTGATGGTGATAATAGTGGTGATGGTGGTGCTGATCGTGGTGCTGCTGCTGCTGCTGCTGCTGGTGGTGGTGGGGGTGGGGATGGAGGTGGTTAAACGGTGGTGATGAAGGTGGTGATGATGGTGGCGGTGGTCACTGGAAGACAATTCAGAGACCTTGCTGCTTGCTTGTTGAGCAGCATCTGACTCGAATTATTTTAGGCATTGCCCTGGATATGAGAACGCCATACAACATTATGGTGGAGAGCAGAAAAGTGTGCCAAAGTTGTGCTGCCTTCTTTCGCAAGGTGACTGCGGTTTTGTTGAAACCTGGACCCAAGCCATCCACTTTCTGAGAGGAAAATGCATTGGCCACGATCCATCATACTGGTTTGCTGACTCAGAATCTTTGATGATGAGCACTGAAATTAAGTGATAACATTTTTTTTTCTATTTTAAGAGATATGCCTTCCTTCTGGGCTTAAACAGTAGAGTCAAGTGAAATGGTCAGGGGAAATAGTTTTTAGTCAGAATCAATTTTCTCCTGATGACTAAAGGGGAGGGAGGGAGTGGCTTGAAATTTGGCCAAGAGGATCCACATTTTGCCTTCTGCTTCTCTGCAGAGTAGCAGAGCACTGGGGATACTGAGGGTGAGAAAAGGGGAGCAGGACCTGTTGAAATACCATAAGAAAAATATTTCTCTCCGGACGGATTTAAATAGTGATAATGTCACCTGCTTAAAACACCCAGTCCTATAACTGGCGCATATCAGGTATGATGCAAACGGACTTTTCATTTCCTTTCTCACACAGGATTGTCATCCTGGGGGCCTGGAGGCAAGGACTTACCTAAAAAGAGGAAGAAACTGGGACAGGGTGCACAAACTCTGTGAGATTGTGAGTTCAGAAATGGCTTGAGGGAGGGAAACTATCCTTTGCCAAGTGCCTGCAGACTGCCAAACATATGCTAGTGCCTTCGTATTGATCCTGACAATAGTCCGTGAGTTGGTTTTATTTATCTCATTAGGGCCTAAGGATTGGGCAGATTAGGAAATCAGGGCTCAGAGAGAGGAAGTGGCTTGCTCCAAACCAAGGAATTAATTCAAGGCGGAGCTACCATGAGTCAGGCCTTTATAAGCCCCCAGTCTCTATACTCCCACTATACAGTCAGCCCTGTGTGGTCGGATGCTGGGAAAATGGAATATTGAGAATGAGACTGAGGTGTGGGAGAGCCAACAGCTCTGATCTCTCTTCCTTTATTCAACTCAGGGCCTTGCGTTCTTGGAGGAGCCACACTTCAGGAGAGCTACATCTGAGCCAGCAACACATGGGGTGGAGGCAGGGTGGATAAGAGAACAGCAGGAGGGCACAAGGTGAGACAAGGAGGTGCTCTGAATTTCCTCCCGACCCAAAGCCTCTTTCCCCCTCTTCTCACTCCCAGGCCCTCTATGGCACATCAGGGGTGACGCTGACACCCCTGTGTGAAGAGCTGGGAACCTCCCACCCCTGCCACCCAGCCCTGGTGTGAGCTCAGCTCTCCCATCCAAGTACTAACCAGGCCCGACCCTGCTTAGCTTCCGAGATCAGACAAGATTGGGTGCATTCAGGGTGGTATGGCCGTAGTCTGAGCTCAGCTCTAAGCTCTCTTGTGGGCCAGGCCTCTTCACAGAGACCCAGAGATTACCTTTTATAATCTCAGGGCCTCATGACTCGAGCCCATAAGATTTTCAAGCACGTAGTCAAATATGTAAGCCCTGAGAAGAAATATATATTGGCTCCAAAGTGTGATCAGAAAAAAAAAATCAAAATTAATATGTGTGTAGCCCTAGCCCAGTGGTCTGCAAACTGTGGCTCAGGAGCCATATGCGGCTCTTTGGCCCCTTGAGTGTTCTAACGCCACTTCTTCAAAATAGACTCAACCAGGCTGAAAACCGACTTCTGCGCATGGGCCATGCAAGTTTCAATCGCACTGTGTGCACCCGCTCCTGGTATTTTCTGGAAAAGCCACACTCAAGGAGCTAAAGATCCGCATATGGCTCGCAAGCCGCAGTTTGCCAACCATTGCCCTAGGCAGTTTGGCTCAGTGGATAGAGCAATTAGCCTGCAGACTAAAGGCTCCCAGGTTCTATTCCGGTCAAGGGTACATACCCAGATTTCAGTTTCCATCGCCAGTAGGGGGCGTGCAGGAGGCAGCCAATTAATGATTCTCTCTCATCAGTTCTCTCTCATCATTGATGTTTCTATCTCTATCTTCCTCTCCCTTCCTCTCTGAAATCAATAAAAACCCATTTAAAAAATCTTTTAAAAATTCTTTTAAGTATTAATATGTGTTTAAATATCTACAAATGCAATATTATGTCCATCAGTCATGGGCAACTCGAAGCAATTCTTAGCTAGCTGTAATAAATATTGTTCAAGTTATAAAACAAAGGGGATAACTTACTCTTTCCCAAACTCGAAATTATAGAAGTCCTTTCGCAAACTGTTATCGAGGTAAATGGTATTTGATGGCGGAAGCAGCTTCCTGCGCTTGTCAGGACCGAGGTGGGTCCCGGGCTACACAGGCCTTTGAAGGACTCTGCTGGCCTCGCAGTGCAGGGTCCTTCTGGTCACAGCGGAGGCCACAGAGGAAGGACTGCAGCTGGCTTTGGGCTGGAACTGGGCATCACAATCCCATAGGCAGGGACGTGGCTGGAGGCCGCCTGCCATCAGCAGGCACGGCCCCTTAGGAAATCCTGGGCAAGGGCAAGGCCGCCACTGGCTCCTGGAAACCAAAACAACCCTGGTTCACCGGCTCTGCCTGAGCGAGGAGAGCAGCGTGTATTAAGGTGACCAGACGTCCCACTTTTGGCAGGACAGTCCGATTTTTATTAATTTGTCTCGTTCCCGCGGCGTTTTAAGAAAGCCCCGATTTTTTTTTTTTTTTTTTTTTTTTTTTTTTTTTTTTTAAGAATCCTAATTGTTAAAAATCGGGACTGTCCCACCAAAGGCGGGACATCTGGTCACCTTAATACATGTTCTGATATGGGTTTTAACAACTCCCTCTGGCTGCTGCTGTGTGGGGAAGGGGCTGGTGGTGGCCAGCCTGGAGACAGCAAAACTGGGAGGAGAATGTAACGGGGCCCAGGAAAGAGGGGACAGGGGTCTGGCCTGCAGTAAAGGCAGTGGGGACAGAGAAAAGGAGATGGGAGTTGAGAGAGGTGCCCAAGAAATGGCCGGACTTTCCAAATATTGGACTATGGAAAGTGACAGAGAGAGAAGAGTTCGGATGACCCCAGAGTGCTGAATTGGGGGGGGGGGGGAAGGGAGGGGGTTGCCAATGGCAGCCAGGGAATGCAGGAGGAGCCAGTGTGTGGTATTACGTCAGTGTGTGGTATTACGTAGGCTCAAAGGGCTTGTGGGATGTTCGAAAGAATCTGTCCAGGAGCTAAAGTGACAACGTGGCTTCATAAGGTGGGCCCAGGTGAAAAGATACAGATGAGGGCACCCATCCAGGTCAGACAGAGCACACGTCTATTTCCTGGGAAATATATTGGCTCCAAACTATAATCCGTGGGGGCGGGGGGGGGGGGGGGGCGGGGAAGGCAACATCAAAATTCCAGGATACTCTCAAAACTCCTTAATTTAATCACATCTGCGAAGTCCCTTTTGCTGTAGAAGGCAGCATTCGCAGGCTCTGGACGTTAGGATGTGGTCATCTTTGGAGGCTGTTATTCAGCCTATGGTACGTGCCCAACGAGCACATCCGTCACCAGAGCATGGAACGCCTGTCTGGTCCAAGCCCCAGGCTCAGGATTCTCCCTCCTGACCAGGCCAGACGAGAAGGAGCTCTCCTCCACCAGAGCCAGTAGAAATACATCCTTCAGCTACCTCTGTAAGCCCCCCTCTCAGCTCTGCCTGTTACCTGGGCTTCTCCCCAAGCCCTGGCCTACCCTGCCCTGGAAAGCAGTTGAGTCTGCCCACAGTGTCTCAGAACGACCACCAGAGGGAGCGCCACCAGAGGGAGCTGGTGCGTGCTGGTTTTCTCCTTCTCCACGGGTCTCTCCTCTCCCCCTCCTCCCTTCCTTTCCTCCTCCCTTCCAAGCCCTTGGGAAGAAGAACAGCACAGGCTCCCACCCACGCTCTCTCTCCCTCCTGGGAGCACGTCCAAGCCTTTCTCCTCTCCCTTCCCCTCGGTCGATTTGCATATGACGCTTTTATTAGTATAGATAAGCCAAGGGCAAGATGCAAGCCACCAGCCAAAGGCGATCCCGTAGATACGGTGTTGCCCGAGGAGACAGCTGTCCTGGGTAAAGGCCACACACTTCCTCCTCTCTCCCCTCCCGTTGGCTGAGCTCTGGGCACCGGGACTCAAAGGTTTCTTCTAGGAAACAGGCTCCTGCAGGGCGGGGGCAGGCAGGCCTGTGGGCCCGGCTGGGCGTGGCAGCCTCCTCCCCCACGAACGCGTATACAGCCTCTGCCAGGAGCAAAACCCTCTGGGTGCCCCGGAGCACGGTGGTACTCGGGAGCCTCCGGAGCCCGCAGAGGAGCCAGCATGGTGGAGTTTGCTCCCTGGTCTGTGCCCTGGGAGCGCCGGCTGCAGACGCTCTCCGTCCTGCAGTGGGTCTTCAGCTTCTTGGCCTTGGGTAAGGCAGGCTGGCCTTGGGGATGGGGGAGACCGGGTGGGCACTGATGGTGGCAAGACATGGTCCCTAAGGGGAGGGGGGGCGCGGGCGGGGAGGGAGGAGGCTTGGCTGTGCTGAGTCCCTGCTGGAGGCCTTGGAGGGTGGGGTGGGTCGGTGTGGGCACAGGGTGAGGCAGAAACCATCACCTGTGCCTTTGGACAGGTTACTTCACTTCCCAGGGCTGTGGATTCCGCCTCAGTGTGAGGACAGAGCACCTGCCTCCTCCCGCTGCCTGGGGTGTGGGGAAGATTCCAGGCAGATGGCTTTTCTTCTTCCTTCCTTTCCGAGAGAGAGAGAGAGAGAGAGAGAGAGAGAGAGAGAGAGAGAGAGAGCTGGAGGTGGAGGGAGAAGGGGATGGGGGGGGGCGGGTAAGCAGGGTGGGGAGAAGGGAACAGGGGAAAAAATCAAACGGGGAGGGAATGTGCAGGATGAACGTGGACTGGGGGGAGAGTGGGTTACCAGGTAAAGCTGGGCAACTGACCGGCTGTGTGACCTTGGTGGACCCGTGACTGACCTCTCCAGGCCTCTATTTCATTCACCTGCATAACGGGGAATAACCAAGCCCTCTGCTAACCTGGAGGACTAGCGGGGTCTTACCGGGCTCTTGTGGGATGAAATGAAGAGACGCGTTGACAGGCCTGGCTGGGCCCTGGGCTAGACTCACACAGGAGAGTCCGTTCCTTCCCCCACGGACAAACACATCTGTTATGGCAGGGAGGCCACAGCTGGCCAAACGTCAGCTCTGCCGAAGGGAACATTTCCGAGGAGGGCCCAGGACGGAGGGCTGGGAAGAGAGGTGACGGGGAGGATGTGGATTCCTCATTGCACCTGCTGCCACCCCCAGGACGGTGCTCAGTCCAGTCACACCCATCACTGTCCTGGGGTTAAAATATGGACGAACTCTGCATAGGTTTGTCAACAGCCATCACACACACACACACACACACACACACACACACACATACACCAGGTGTGTTCTCAGAACCTCACAATTCTGCCAGGGATTCACCCCCAGCAAAGCAGGCACATAGGTACCCTGCCCCTAGCATCACCCGTGCCTTTGGGCAGGCTACTTCACTTTCCTGGGCTGTGTCTCCCATCCTAACGGTCGTTAAACATTTTATATACCCTTGGTGCTCCCCACGACACAGAGGAGCCAAGACACGAAGCACCTTCAATGCCAAAGGTTGTCGAGTCCTTAAATAACTTAAGTGTCAAAGGTTGTGGCGTCCCGACCGCCTCCTCCTGACATGGCAAGAGGGGAGCGGAGAGAGGGCAGAGGGTGTGGGAGGAGGTGTGGGCTCGGAGGCTGTGGGAAAAGCATGGGCAGGGAGGTCGGTGCCCAGGGCAGACTGTAAGCGCTGGCTCCCGGACAAAGGGCATTGGGGCCCAGAGGCAGGCAGGTGCAGCGGAGGGATCGCCGGAGATAAGGAACCTCGTACGCGGCTTGCCTGGCGTGAGCTTTGTGAGCACAAGTGTGTCCGGCTGGCGGTGCCCACCCCCAGCCCCGCAGGTAGCCCGGCAGCCTGAGAATGTGGGGACCCGCACGGAGTTCTCAGTCACCCTGAGCCTGGAGGACGAGAAGAAGGAACAGCTGAGAAAAGGGATCTGGGCCCCCAGGTGCCAGGAGTAGGAGGTTGTACCTTTCCTTATCCCTTATCCTGGGGGCAAAGGAGAGTGACAGGGTCTAATCTGCCTGTTAAAGGGCCCCGGTGGCTGCCTGCCTGCCTGCCACAGAGTTATCTCCGGTGTATGGGGTGTGGGGAACCAGATCTACGGCAGGAGCGGCCACCGTCTAGATCAAGGCTTACCCACAGGCCAAATCCAGCCCACCGATTATTTTTGTTGGTGTTGTTTGTTTCTTTCACAAACTTTGATTCCAATTTTAATTCATTAATCAACGCATTGCCCCCACCTTGACCCCCTCCACCCTGCTCCCCCTCCAAGTGATTGTATTTGCACAGTCCATGAGGTTAAGAATGGCTTTTACAGTTTTAAATGATTGCACGTTATTTTATTTCTTTTAAATCTTTATTCTTGAAAGTATTACACGTCCTTCTTTTTTCCCCATTGACCCCTTCTGGCTCACCCCTGCTCCCTGCCCCAGGCCTTCACTGCCCTATTGTCTGTGCCCATGGGTTAGCCATATATGCATACAAGTTCTTCGGTTGATCATGGCACACACACACCCCTCCCCCAGATTCCCCAGTCTAGTCTATGCTTCTATGTCTCTGGATCTATTTTGTTCATCAGTTTATTTTGTTCGTTAGATTCTACATATGAGTGAGATCATGTGGTACTTGTCTTTCTCTGACTGGCTTATTTCACTTAGCGTGATACTCTCCAGGACCCTCTATGCTATTTCAAAGGGTAAGAGATCCTTCTTTTCACTGCTGCATAGTATTCCATTTACTGCTGCATAAATGTTAACACAATTTTTTTTATCCACTCATCTACTGATGGGCACTTGGGTTGTTTCCAGATCTTATATTGTAAACTAGAGACCCGGTGCATGAAATTTCATGCACTGGGGGAGGGGAGAGGTGTCCCTCAGCCCAACCTGCACCCTCTCACAGTCTGGGACCCCTCGAGGGATGTCCAACTGCCACTGGGAGCCGACCTAATCTGGCAGTTAGACATCCATCTCACAGTCTGGGACCACTCACTCCTTACTGCCCTCCTGCAACTGAGGCGGGAGAGGCTCCTGCCACCACTATGCTCGCCAGCCATGAACTGACTTCTGGCTGAGCAGCACTCCCCCTGTGGGCGTGTGCTGATCACCAGGGGGCAGCTCCTGCATTGAGAGTCTGCCCCCTGGTGGTCAAAGCACATCATAGCGATTTGCATATTAGGGTTTTACTATATAGAATTGTGTTGCTATAAACATCAAGGTGCATACATTCTTTCTGATTGGTGTTTTTGCATGTCTCTGATGATCAGTGAACTACTTTGAGCATTTTTTTATATGTGTCTTGGCCATCTGTATGTCTGCTTTGGAGAAATGTCTATTAATATTTAGGCCCTTGGCCCATTTTTTTTTTAATTATATGTTTGTCTTCCTTTTAAGTTGCATGAGTTCATTATATATTTTGGATATTAACCCTTTGTCAGATGTATCATTGCCAAATATGTTCTCCCATACAATGAGCTCCCTTTTCGTTTTGTTGATGGTTTCTTTTACTGTGCAAAAGCTTTTATTTTTATATAGTCCCATCTGTTTATTTTCTCCTTTATTTCCTTTGCCAAAGGGAGATATCTAAAATTTTGCTACCTTTAGTTTCTTCTAAAATTTTTATGGTTTCCCAACTTACATTTAAGTCTTTTATCCATTTTCAGTTTATTCTTGTGTATGGTGGTCTAGTTTCATTTTTTTGGCATGCATCTGTTCAATTTTCCCAACTGAAGAGACTGTCTTGATTCCATTATATATATATTCTTGCCTCTTTTGTCAAATATTAGTTGAGTGTAATGGCTTAGGTCGATTTCTGGGGTCTCTGTTTTGTTCCATTGATCTGTATGCCTGTTCTTGTCCCAGTACCAGGCAGTTTTGATTACAGTGGCTTTATAGTATAACTTGATGTCTTATAATCCCTCCAACTTTGTTCTTTCTCAAGATTGCTGCAGCTATTTGGGGTCTTTTTTTGGTTCTATATAAATTTTTGGAGTATTTGTTTTAGTTCTGTGAAAATATGCTATTAGTATTGTAGAAGGGATTGCATTAAATCTTTGGGTTGCTTTGGGTAGTATGCACATTTTAATGATGTTAATTTTACCAATTCATGACACAGTATATTCTTCCACTTGTTTATGTCTTCCTCTATCTATTTTTTCAACATCTTATAGTTTTATGAGTACAAGTCTTTTACCTCCTTGGTTAAGTTTATTCCTAAGTATCTTAAAATTTTTTTAAAATATTATTTTTATTGATTTTAGAGAGGAAAAGTAAGGCCGGTGTGTGTTTCTTGGCATCTAGAAGGGGTTCAGGAATCTGAAGAAGCAGCTGTGTGTAAACTAATCAAGAGTCCAGAGATGAAACATAATTTTAGGAGGCATTTGGGAGCCAGAGGAGCTTGGCTAAAGAAACCAAGTTCTCGCCGAAACCGGTTTGACTCAGCAGTAGAGCGTCGGTCTGCGGACTGAAAGGTCCCAGGTTCGATTCTGGCCAAGGGCATGTACATTGGTTGCGGGCACATCCCCGGTAGGGGGTGTGCAAGAGGCAGCTGGTCGATGTTTCTCTCTCATCGATGTTTCTAGCTCTCTATCTCTTTCCCTTCCTCTCTGTAAGAAAATCAATAAAATATATTTTTAAAAAAAAAGAAAGAAAGAAAGAAAGAAAGAAAGAAAGAAAGAAAGAAAGAAAGAAACCAAATTCTCCTGTCTCTCTGTACCCCTTGCTTTTTATTAATACAAATTGTCCTAGAGCAAGGTAGATATACATATCAAAGGATAAGGTTTGGAATACAGAATCCATTGTCAGATTGGAGGAACTACAGGTGTTGGCCAGGAGGAGGCAATAACATGTAGATTAAAATGTCCTCAGCTGTCTGGCAGCAAGCAATCATTTATGCATCCTTTTTAGGTTTGGGGAAATGCCCTCAGCCATCTCCAGGTGATTCAACCCTGCTGACATGCTGGATTTTGCTTCTGGCAATATATATATATATATATATATATATATATATATATATATATATAGAGAGAGAGAGAGAGAGAGAGAGAGAGAGATCAATGATGAGAGAGAATCATCAATCCACTGCCTCCTGCACGCCCCCTACTGGGATTGGGCCTGCAAATCGGGCATGTACCCTGATCAGAAATTGAACGGTGACCTCCTGGTTCATAGGTCAACGTTCAACCACTGAGCCACGCTGACCAGGCCTAAGTATCTTAATTTTTTTGTAGCAATGGTAAATGGGGTTATTTGTTTAGTTTCTCTTTTTGAGAATTCATTATTGATGTATAAAAAAAAAACACATCAATTTCTGGATGTTGATTTTTGTATCCTGCTACATTGTCAGTTCATTTATTAAATCTAGTAGTTTTTTTGGTGGAGTTTTTAGGATTTTCTATGTACAATATCATGTCATCTGCAAATAATTAGTGTTTTACTTCTTCCTTTCCAATTTGGATGCTTGCTTTGGCTAGGACTTCCAATGCTACAATTATAGCCAGCATCCCTGTCTTGTTCCTATTCTTAAAGGAAATGGTTTTAGTTTTTGCCCATTTAGTATGATGTTCACTGTAGGTTTGTCATATATGTCCTTTATTATATTGAGATATGCTCCTTCTATTCCCACTTTGCTGAGAGTTTTTATCAAAAAATGGGTTTTAGAATTTGTCAAATGCTTTTTCTGCATCTATTAATATGATTATGTGATTTTTGTCTTTCAATTTGTTTATATGATGTATCATGTTTATTGATTTGTGAATATTGTACAGTCTTGCATCCCTGGAATGAATCCCACTTGGTCATGGTGTATGATCTTTTCAATATATTGCTGGATGTGATTTGCTAATATTTTGTTGAAGATTTTAGCATCTATGTTCATTAGGGATACTGGCCTATAATTCTCTTTCTTTGTAGTGTCTTTATCTGGTTTTGAAATTAGGATAATGCTGGCCTCATATAAAAGAGCTTGGAAGTGTTCCTTCCTCTTGAATTTTTTAATAGTTTGAGAAGTATAGGTATTAGTTCTTCTTTGAATGTTTGGTAAAACTCCCCTGTGAAGCCATTTGGACCAGGTCTTTTGTTTGCTGGGAGTGTTTTTATTACTGCTTCCATTTCCTCAGTGGTTATTGTCCTGTTTAGATTTTCTGATTCTTCCTGAAATCAACTATAGTAAAAACACTCAAAAACATTCAAACACATGTAGGCTAAACAGCATGTTATTAAACAGCCAGAGGCCTGGCTTGCGATCAGGGCCATCTTCCCCAGCTGCTCAAAGTCGGCCCTGCCCCGCCAACCCCCCACTGCCACCCACCCCCAGTTCCCCTTTTGTCATGGAGTGATCGATGCCTGAGCTGGTTGTTTGAATAGATAAACAAGATTATGAACCCCTAGCCAGACTCATTAAGAAACAAAAATAGAGGACCCAAATAAATAAAATCAGAAACAAAAGTGGTGAAGTAACAACTGAACACCAGCGCCCTGTGCTGTCGAAAAGCCAGGTATAACTTTTGACTCCCCAGGTAAAACTTAACTACGAATAGCCTACTGTTGACCAGAGTGTCCCAATTAAGCCCCAATTAATTGATTATCTGTCTAGACTCAGTGGGACAAATGCAGGTGACCGGGAGTCAGCAATAGCGGCCTATCCCCTGGTACTTCAATGTCTAGACAGCTGAGCCGAACCGGAACCCATGACACACAGACAGAATCAGGATGCAATCACACAGGGTTTATGTACCTATTCCTAGTGGGTCCTGGCTCTGGCAAAGGCCACCCGGCCATGCACACTGAAGGACAGACGACGGAAACAGAGACAGGCAGGTGGCCGCAGTTGGTTCAGGCTCACCCAGCAGAGCAGTCAGGGCTGTTTCCCGTGGTGCATGGAGTCCTCCTCTTATCAGGCAGGAGAACTCAACTGAAGACAGTCTCAGGGTTATATGGACCACCATAGACAATTGTGTCCTTATCAGTGTGGGCCAGACGGCGTGCCTTAAGCTGGGAGCAGGGCGTTTACATTTTCAGGGCTCAGAGCTTTTACATCAAGATATTGGGGTTTTCATTAATTTTGGAAGTTACAGAGAATTGGGGGTTTCCAGACAGCAAACAATTCACACAATAATTATTGTAACCCAGAGCCTTAAAGATAACATAAACAGTCAATACATATTTTGTATCTTAATGTATTATACACGGTATTCTTACAATAAAGTAAGCTAGAGAAAAAAAAATGTAATTAAGAAAATCATACGGCCCTAGCTGGTTGGGCTCAGTGGATAGAGCGTCAGCCTGTGGGCTGAAGGGCTGTGGGCTTGATCTCCAGTAGGGGGTGTGCAGGAGACAGCTGATCAATGATCCTCTCATCATTGATGTTTCTGTCTCTCTCCCTCTCTTCCTCCTGGGGCTGTGAGCTGAATGGGCTAGTGCGGCTGGTCCTGGGCGTTTCCTTCCTCTCAGACCTCTCACGTGTTTCCCTCCTCAGCTCAGACCTGCGTTATAGTCTTCATAGGCCTCCTGTTCACCAGATTCTGGTTCCTCAGTGTCCTGTACGCAACGTGGTGGTACCTGGACCGAGACAAGCCATGGCAGGGCGGCAGGCGCGTCGAGTTCCTGAGACGCTCCGCAGTATGGAGGTACATGAAGGACTATTTCCCCGTCTCGGTGAGTATTAGGGCTGGCAGGGCTAACGGGTCCCACTCCTCCCCGGGGAAGGTGGGGCCCTGTGTGCAGTGGGAAGAGCTACCACCACTGTGCACCATGGGGAAGAGTCCAGCCATGGTTCCCCACCTCTGGGCATGTGCAGCCAATTGAGGACTGATGAATGCACAGATTTTTTTTTATATATATATAATACTTTTAATTGATTTTTTTACAGAGAGGAAGGGAGAGAGATAGAGAGCTAGAAACGTCGATGAGAGAGAAACATCAGCCAGCTGCCTCCTGCACACCCCCACTGGGGATGTGCTTGCAACCAATGTACATGCCCTTGACTGGAATCGAACCTGGGACCCTTCAGTCCGCAGACCGACGCTCTACCACTGAGCCAAACCGGTTTCAGCATGAATGCACAGGATTTGAAAGAGCTCTGTGGGGCCTATCATGGGGCCCACATATGTGTCTTGTAGGTGTAAATCCCTCTGCAGCCCAGGCTTGGGTAGAGGGAGATAATAAACTCAGTCCACATGTCATCAGATGAGACACTGACACCCAGAGGGACAAAGGTCTGACCGAGGCCACACAACAAGTTTTTGTTTTGTTTTGTCTTCACTGGTTATAAAGTTTGTGCACTAACTCTGGGTATAGGAGAAGGGGAGCGAGCCCTGAACAGGTTCTCTCCTGCTCCTAGCTCTGGGATGCTATGGGTCCTTGGGTTGGGCCTTGCCCCATTCTGAACCTCAGTTTCCCCATGTATCCAGTAAGCAGACTGATCTCTCCTGCTCTGAGTGCCTTGAATCTCTGACTCTGACTCAAGGCATCTCATGAGCATCCTGAACAGTTGACCCTGGGCCCAAAGATCAGTCCTGGGGAAGCACATCTCTGGATTCACAGACCCTTCAGCTTTACTGAAACCTAGACCGACGAAACCCTGGATGTAAGCCGCTGGGCGGGACTGTTGTATGGGCCGGATGAGAGGGTCGGGAAGACAAGGGAACACAGAGAGGTGCCAGGCAGGGACAGTTGGCTCTTCTCTGGAAACAGTAAAGAACAAAAAAAGGTGTAGAATGTGGTCTCTGGAGCTAGACGGACTAGGTTCTAATATCAGTTCCACCACCCACCAACTGGGTGACCTTGGGGGAGTTACAGTCTCTCTGAGCCTCAGTTCCCACCCTGGTAATGTGGAGATGATGCCACCTACATCCTTGGGCTGCATTCTGGGGTTCAATGAGACAAGGGATACAGTGCCTTGTAGGTTCTCAGTAAACTACTGGTTGGGATTATTTTGCCAAGTCAGTGGGGAGTCTGGGAGGCTTGGGCGTGGCTGCAAGTCTGATAGCCCAGAGCCACTCTGCTTTGACCTTCGCAATGCTTGGCTTCTCCGCCTCCATCCAGATCCCCACCTCTTCCTGTCCCTCCAGGAGCCTGTTCTCCGCTGAGAAAGGGGCAGGAGGGAGGAAACAGGCTCCCTGAGGTTAGACTGTCAGCACTCCTGCATCGCTCCCAAGAGTCTTGAGGCCCAAGAAGAACTAGCAAAGGCTGGACAACAGCTGGGGTACAGGAGCCTCTAATCCCAATAAGAAGGTCCTCCTGGGCAAAGGACAAGGGTGGGCAGGGCAGGGTAGGGCAGGGCAGGGCAGCAGGGCAGGGGCTGGGCAGAAGGCAGGAAGTTGCCAGCAGAGACTTCCATGCTCATGTTGAAAGGCAGAGTGAGTGGGCAGTGCTGAGCTAACCTGAGGAGCCCAGGTGGGGGTGATCTTCCTCACCCCCTGTATCCCCTTCCTCTGCAGTGTGTCCTTCCAAAGGATATCTTCATCAAAGGCAAGCAGGGCTTGCTGGGTCCTAAAAGGAGCCATGGGCATGTCCTGGGCAGACTCCCTTATCCCCACTCAGGATTTCTGAGCTTGACATTCTGCATTCCCTTCCCTCCCTCTCCTCCTCCCAGGCCAGGGCTTGCTCTCCTGTTCCAGGAAGGTCAGAATTTCTAGGGAAAGTGTGGCCTGGAGCTTGGGAGTGTATGCGGACAGCAACGTCCAAGCCAAAGAAACCTAAAGCAGGTCCCGGCCTCGGGGAGGGGGGGGGAGGGAGGAGAGCTTTGTGGGTTCTCACTCTGTGGTCTCCCCTCTCGCTGTGCGCGGAATCTGTAACTAGACAATCAATGTGTCTGTGAGCCATTAAGCAGACACAGGGTTGAATCATAGATGAGCATTTATTCCAATACCCCGGGCAGCATGGGAGAGCAGCAGGTCATCCTCAGAAATCTGCTCCTCCTTCCCTACCCCCACCCCTTAAACCAGCTGCTTATATTGGGTAGAAGCACAAAGATTACATGGGGAAGTGGGCTAAGAGGGCAAATGGGCAGTTTACAGGTACACGAAGGGCTGAGGATCTCCTAAGCAGTGGTTTTCAACCTTCCTAACGCCGTGGCCCTTTCATACAGTTCCTCGTGGTGTGGTGACCCCCCAACCATACAATTATTTTTGTTGCTACTTCATAACTGTAATGTTGCTACTGTTAATGCATCGTAATGTAAATAAATATCTGTGTTTTCCGATGGTCTTAGGCGACCCACAGGTTGAGAACCACTGCTGTAGAGCCTAAGACCATCGGAAAACACAGATATTTACATTACAATTCATTAACAGTAGCAACATTACAGTTATGAAGTAGCAACGGAAATAAAGTTATGGTTGTGGGTCACCACAGCACAAGGAGCTGTATGAAAGGGTTGCAGCATCAGGAAGGTTGAGAACCACTGTTCTAAGGGCTAGTGACATGCCACGGTCTGGGGATAAGGGCTGGCGATTCTGGTTTCTGCAACAGGAATCTTCCCCCGGAAATAGGCCACTCCAAATGGGGAGGATGGACTTCCTTTCCAGGTGAGCTCCCAGCTCCCGAGTGCAGCTGTCAGCCAGGTTAGGGTGCGCCTTCTTTCATCAGAATAGAACAGTCACGACTAACAGAGCATCATTAATATTCCTTCCAATTATAGCTGGTTCCCCCACATTATATTTCTGTCTCTTTCAAAGCCCGAGGTCACCAGGGAAAGAAAAGGGTCAGCACAGGCGCAGGCCCAGAAGCCGGCCACCTATGGCTTCTGAGCAGCAAGCCTACTGTTGAGTGTGAATGAAGTAGAAGGTCACCTGGGGATGAGGCTAAAGCGTTTTTGCAGGGACAAGGTAACAGAGGCCCCCGAAGACCATCTGACAGAACTGGGACTCTTCCGCTGGAAATTCTCCAGGGGGATGTCATCCAAGGGCCCACAAAGGGTAGCATCAGGCTCTTGGCACCTAGAGCTGCTGCCATTGCAGGCCTGGCAGAAAATGGTGCTGAGGTGGCTCTGAGCCGATCCTACCCCAGCCAGGTAGCTCTCAAGGCGGCTTTCTCAGCACCATGGGCATTTGGGGCTGAAGGAGTCTCTGCTGTGTGTGTTACGTGGGGCAGGAGGGTTTCTGACTGACTTCATCCTGGGCCCCTACCCGCTAGGTGCCAATAACACACCCCTCTACCAGTTGTGACAGCAAAATGATGTCTGCAAACATTACTAAATGGCCCTCTGCGGGGAGAGGGGCTGGGCAAACTGTCCCTGGTTGAGAACTGCTGCTCTAGAGCCGGTGGTTTGTCTCCCAGAGTCCTCCAGACCTGGCCCTTCTCTCCTCCTAACGATCTAAGGCCTGGCCACCGTTATCTTTTTATCTGGACTCTTAAAATGTTAAAGAAAAAGAAAAACAAACAAACAATAACAACAACAACAACAACAAAAAATAGCCTGGCCGGCATGGCTCAGTGATTGAGCGTTGACCTGGGAACCAGGAGGTCATGGTTCCATCCCTGGTCAGGACATCTGCCTGGATTTCAGGTTTGATCCCCAGAGGCAGCCAACCAATGAGTCTCTCTCGTCATTGATGTTTTTATCTCTCTTTCCCTCTCCTTTCCTCTTTGAAATCAATAAAATATTTTAATTTAAAAGAGAGAGAGAGAGAGAGAGAGAGAGAGAGAGAGAGATGGGTCTGGGCAGACATGGTAGAGCCCCTGGCTGTCCTCCCTCCCATCCTCGGTCCAGTTGCCTCTCCCGGGAGCCTGTGCAGGATGTGGTAGGCAAAGGCCTTGGGATTCAAAGTAGGAACACCCCTGGGAGAACGGAAAACATGTTTGCACCGAGACTTGTACCCAAGTGTTCGTGGCCACATTATCGGAAATGGCCAACGACCATTAAACAAAGGAAATGTGGTCTGTCCACACAATGGAGTATAGTATTCAGTCACAGAAAGGGATGAAGTGCTGAGGCAGGCTTCCACATCGATGAACCTTGAACACCTTCTGTGAAATACAAGAAGACGGTCATAAAAGGCCACATGTTGTATGATTCCATTTATGGGAAATTTCCAGAAGCGGCAACTCCATAGAGACAGAGAGCAGTGGCTGCCAGGGGCTGGGGAAAGGAGAATGACCACTATAGGTGTCTTCCTGGGGTGTTTAAAATGCTCTAGAATTAGAAATAGATGGTTGCACATCTTTAAATATATTAAAATCAGAGTCACACACTTTCAAAAGGTAAATGTGGGAGATACGAACTACATAATTAAAGAAAAGCAATCCCAGAGCCTACAACCTGGCCGTCCTCTTCCTCAGCTGCCACTGCGTGGCGGCAAGCCCAGGCTGGGAGCACATGTGCCCACAGAGGGCCTTCCCCAGCCAGCCTTCTCTGCCTGGCCATCCTCCCTGCCCCTCAGAGACCTGCAGGAGCGAGCAGAGAACACAACCCCTCATGCACCTTCCCTCTCTGTGCTTAGCACACCTGAACCAAGTAGCAGCTTTGCCAGAGAGGCATCATCATTGTCCTGTGGAAGTCAGAGGGGAAACTGAGGCCAAGGTCATGTCATGGGCCAGGGCCAGGACCTGGATCTCATGACTCCCCACTCAGTGGAACCCAGGTGCACATCAGAACAGGATCGGGCAGGGGTTGGCTGCCTCAGCCTCATCCGTCCACGGTCTCATTCTTTCCTTTCTTCATTTCTGTCGCCCACAGAGCGTCTCCTCTCTTTCAGGCCTGCGTCAGGGATTTAGCGATGCCTCACTGGGTGGCCTCTGATCTCAAGGTCCGCACTGTGGTGGTGGGGTATTCCTTGGGCACAGGAGGACAGGTGGAAGAGGTTCCGCCCAGGAAGTCAGCAGACCCATCTCAGTGGGCTAGCGACGCCCCTCAGTGCACACACTTGGACACGCACCTGTAGATGCAGGAGCAGATCTGGCACAGTTGCCTAGACAGGGCCCTCACACTCACAGGGTAGCTCTCTACACACAAAGACTTATTATTAAGGGGAGAATCATCCGGTCATTTGTTGATTTATTTTATTCATTACCCATTTAAAGTAGGTAATACATTCTCGTTCAAAATTCGAAAGGGATACATCCCATCTCCCCTAGTTTTTTGCCCAGAGGCGACTGTGACAACCAGTGTTGGGTGCATCCACATACAAACACATGCCTGTGGCAGTCTGCAAGCATCGTCTTGCCCCTGGCTGTTTCCTCTGACAGCCAGCTGCGGCCGGCTTCCCTGAGAGGGGCGGAAGGAGCTGTGTCACACCTGTCTGTGGCTGCACAGGAGCCCATTATGCAAACGTCTCGTGATTTGTCTGAAGGGGCCCCGTGGATGGACATGTGGGTGGGTGGGTGTCGAGTTTTTGCTGTTACAAAAAACAGTGATGCTCCAGTGATCTTGTGCAGACGTCATATTGCACAAGCATGAGAAACCCTGTAGCTAAATCCCTCAGCAGTGGGGTTGCTGGGTGGAAAGGTCGGTTACGTTTTTGGGGTGGTGATAGATATTGCCAAGTCACCTTTACGGAATTGTACACATTACCTCCCCTCTAGCTGAGAAAGAGGGTTTATGAGAAAGGCCTTGCATGCAAGGAGCGAGGGCTGTCTTTAAAGAAACACCACCGACGGGGTTTCTGCGGAGCTCCTTTCCCATCGGGGTGGTGAGAAACCTCTGGCTGTGTGTCTATTTCGGCCTACGGGGAAGAGCTCTGCCATTGTCTGGGAGGCAATAGTCCCTGCAGCCTTTTTGCAAAGGGTCAGTGGTTACCCGTAGGGCACACTGTGGTGTGGGTGAGGGTGGGGAGGCGGTGTGTGTGTGTGTGTGTACGTGTGCGCATGCATCACGTCCAGGTCGGGGGCAGGAGAAGCTGGATGAAGCAGAGAGGCCCAGGCCCCCGTTGCTGCCCCCAGATCCCTGCAGGCTGCTCTGAGGGTGGACAGCATGGCCTCTGGGGCCTCAAAGGCAGCAATAAGAACCCTCAGGGCATCTCCTGCTGAGCGTTTCAGCTTAATGACAGGATGAACTTTCACCCCAGCAAAGCTGAGCCAGAGTGAAACTGCCTCTCCTCACCCCAATCTGGTGATGCAGACTGTAGGGCCCTGGCAGTCCTATCAGGGAGCCTCCTGCGGAGGGTGGGGGGGGAGGGGGAAGGGTACATGTGGCTTCAGGGCCTTCTAATTCTGGTAGCTGTGGCTCCCGGAAGCGGGACACTGGGGTAGGCCCTGCAGTTACACGCAGTCACTGCCCACAGCGAAAAGCTTGGCAGGGCAGCCACATCGCAGCCTGTTCAGTAAACAGCCGGAGCAGCATTTGTTAACTCAGTCCCAGCCCCCCTCTACCCACCCCACTTCACCTGGAAACTGCTAAGGACAAACGGCTCTCCTGTCCCACCCAATCTACAATGCCTGGTGGTCCCTGCTGCACCCTGCAGGCTGCAGGCCGGAGCAGACCCAGGCAGAGCCGCCCGTGTCCAGGGACAGAGCGGACAGAGGGGAGCAGAGAGCCACGGGTGAGGTGCGAGGGGAGGGGTGTGCCTTCTGGTCTGCAACAGGCATCCTCTCCCGGTCTTAAGTGCCAATTTTCTTAAATTGAGTTTTGTAAAATGGGGTATTCCGGCATGGCGGCGCCCCCGTGTGGCCATCTGAGGTCTTCTAATTCTATCCCTTCACGTAGCAGTCTTGGTCATGGCAGGGTACCCTCAGACCTGAACTTCTCAGCAGTCCTGGGAGGGAGGGGAGACGGGGCCAAACGTCCCCACTTTACAAACGAAACGCCTGGGAGGGAAGCAGTTTGTCCAAAGCCTCAGGTGCGAGTCTGAGACACAGCCGGCACCTGGAGAGACGCAGCAGGTGCATTCAGCATCTCCATCTTCCTGAGAACCAGAGTCTCAGAGATGGGGAGTGATGTGCCCAAGGTCAGCGTCAAAGTGGGGGTGCAGGTCCAGCTCTGGCTCATGGGATCATGTCCCCACAGCTGGTCAAGACCGCTGAGCTGGACCCCTCCCGGAACTACCTCGCGGGCTTCCACCCCCACGGGGTCCTGGCCGCCGGAATCTTCGTCAACTTGTGCACTGAGGCCACGGGCTTCTCCAAGCTCTTCCCCGGCATCCGCCCCCACCTGATGATGCTGAACCTGTGGTTCCGCTTCCCCTTCTTCAGGGACTACCTCATGACTGGGGGTGAGTCTTTCCCACCGGGCAGCCAGGTCCATGAGGCTGCAGGCACAGGAGGAGGGAATCTGGGGGAGGGCGACCAGGAGTTCCGTACTTCCTCCGAGAGCATGAGCAGTGGAGGAAGGAGGCTAGACTCAAGGAAGCACTTCCCATAGCACTGCGCAGGGCAATGAGCGTGGCGAGGGGCTTAGGCATGAGGGGGAAGGTTCAGGCCCAGTCCCCAGGAATGCCCAGCTGGAGTGGGAAGGGAGGGGTGGGGGGCCGGCCTCAGTGGGCACTCTTGGGGATCTCTTTGCTGGGCCACATCCACCCCCACCGTCCCTGCCCCTTGACCTAAGGTGACCAGATGTCCTGCTTTTGGCGGGACAGTCCCGATTTTTAACAATTTGTCCCACGTCCCGTTGCATTTTTAAAAAGTCCAAAAGATTTAAAAGGTTTTTTTTTTTTTTTAAAAAAGAATCAGGACTGTTTTAAAACACTGAGGGATGAGGGACAAATTGTTAAAAATCGGACTGTCCCGCCAAAAGCAGGACGTCCGGTCACCTTACCTTCGCCCCATCACTGACCGCCTCCCTCTCTCCCCAGGGCTGGTTACATCGGACAAGGAGTGCGCGGCTCACATCCTGAACAGGAAGGGCGGGGGCAACCTGCTGGGCATCATCGTGGGGGGCGCCCAGGAGGCACTGAACGCCAGGCCCGGGGCCTACAAGCTGCTGCTGCGGAATCGCAAGGGCTTCGCCAAGCTCGCCCTGATGCACGGGTACCTGGGGAGAGGGCTCTGGGTTCCGCTGGAGATCAGCGAGGGTTTATTTTGGTGCGAAGACGGCAGAGGCTGATGGAGTTTCTATTTGGGCAGGGAGACTTCTCAGTCCGTTCACAAATGCACAGGCTATTGTGGGCGAGACAAGGATTGTCTCGCTGCCAAACACCCAGAAAGGGCCCCAGAATGGAGCCTTTGGGGTCCAAGGGCCTGGGTGGGAAGGGACATACTGCCCAAGGCTGGCCCTAGGTCCGAGACCTCTGGGAGGTGGGAGCCTGGGGTCTGGGGTGTAGCGCAGGGCTGTTCTCTGACCTCGGAGCAGCCGTGAGGAGTCCATGCTGGCTGGAGCAGGCGAGATTTTCCTACAAAGCTGGTAGATGATTTCTATCTGGGAGAACGCTGAAGCATTCTAATCTATCCATCATGGTGCCCCTGGGAGGTGGTGGCTCTGAGAAGGGGCCCTCAGGACCTGCCCAAGGTCAGAAAGCAAGGCTCTGGCAGGTCCGGGAGACCACCTAGGCCTCCTACCTCCGGCCCAGGGCTCTGTCCTCTGCTCCTGTTCCTGGTCCCCGCGGGAAGCTAGGGGACCAGCGGGGGGCCTTCTTTGGGGCCTCCAACGGGCCTTCTCCCCTCTGTCTCTCTCTCTCTCTCCAGGGTACCCCTGGTGCCAGTCTTCTCCTTCGGGGAGAACGAACTCTTTGACCAAGTTGAGAACTCTCCGGGCTCCTGGCTGCGTTGGACCCAGAACCAGCTGCAGAAGGTCATGGGCATTTCCCTTCCGCTCTTCCACGGCCGTGGCGTCTTCCAGTACAGCTTTGGCCTTTTGCCCTACCGCCGGCCCATCGCCACCGTGGGTGAGCCAAGACCCAGGCTGGGCGGGGGGCGGGGGGAGCTCACGGGGAAGGGGCCGGGCTGTGAGCTGCCAGGGGACACGGGGCTGGGCCAGGCACATCTTTGCCCTCACGGAGCTCACTGTCTAGACCGTGAAGCAGACACACAAGCAGACGACCCCAACATGAGGCAGTCTGGGATGAGAACTGGGACAGATGAGAACCGGCACAAAGAACAATGGTCGCTACTGATTACTGAGTGCCTATTGTGTAGCAGGCACTGCACGGCTCCCTTACGTGCAGATGCTCAGTTTCTCCTGACATTCTTCGAAGTAGAGACTATTGTCCCTATTTCATTGATAGGAAACAGGCTCAGAGAAATAACTTCAAAAAAAAAAAATCACACTGCCTTTGACTAACGACGTTGAGGTTTGAATATGGATCGGCTTGACTTTTTAGATATATTTTTATTGATTTCAGAGAGGAAGGGAGAGGGAGTGAGAGATAGAAACATCAATAATGAGAGAGAACCATTGATCAGCTGCTTCTTGCATGATCCCCACTGGGGCTCAAGCCCGCAACCTGATAATTGTGCCCTTGGCCATGAACCCGGGACCCTTTAGTCCACAGGCCAACACTCCATCCACTGAGCCAAACGGGCCAGGGCGGGTCAGAGAAACAGGGTTTAATTCTGACCCAGAGGATTAATAGGCTTCCTGGAAAAGGAGGTACAAGGAAAGGGCAGCCCACATCTGTTGGAACTGCATGTAAAGCAGCAATCAGCAGGCCTGGGTCAGCGCGGGCGGGGGGGGAAGGGAGATGGGGGTAGGGAGGTTACGTAGGGGGGAGGGGAGAAGGAGGGAGAGGGGTTCCTGTAAAGAAGGGCATGAGCTTTAGAGCCTGGACTTAACCCCAGGTGTTCCTGCTATTTGGACACCTCATTGGCTTTCTTCATGGATTCCAACCAGGTTCCTCTGTCAAGGCCCAGAGAGAAAGGTCCGTTTATCTCCTCCCTCCCATTCATTTATGTGGTTGAGCACACACTCGGCGAACCCCCATACCTGGACTCTCCCTGTGCTGTGTGGCAATGTTTTCATGAACGTTAATTCTGCTGCTGCCTCCAAAGCTTGCTAAGGGGAGGAGGCAGGGGAGCTGCCTTCTCAGCCCGGCAGAACCAGAGGGAGGGGGTTCGTTGGGGCCTTCCTGACTCCTCCCTCGAAGGAAGGGGGCACTGCAGCCAGCATGGAGGGAGAGCGGGGGAAGAGCTGCCTGGGCTGCAGGCTCACCTCATCCTAGAAATGACAGGTGCTTCTGAGCATGGCATCTTCGACTCCCAGAACCATACGGCCCAGAGGATAAGAGCTCATCCCCGGGCACTGAGTCTTCCTGGCTTTGCTGACCTTTTGTTGTTGTTGTTGAGGATATTTCTTTCCCATTGATTTTTAGAGAGTGGAAGGGAGGGAGGGAGGGAGAGAGAGAGAGAAACATCAATGTGAGAGAGAAACATTAATTGGTTGCCTTCTGCACATACTCCACCAAGCCCAGGGATTGAACCTGCGATCCTTCAGTGTGCAGGCCGACACTCTAACCAACACTGGTCACACCAGCCAGGGCTTGGCTATGCCACCTTCAGTAAGTTACTTAACCAACTCAAAACCTCATGGCCTCATCTATCAATGGGAATTATAGCAGGTTCTACCCCCGGACGATGATTACAAGGATTAAAGGGGATTGTGCACGTAAAGCACCCAGCACATTTCCAGGCATTTTGCAATGCCAGCTGGTGGTGATGTCATAACCTCTGAATCTCAGAGTTGCTCTAACGTCTTAGAATTCATCACTCGAAATAAGGTGGAAAGGGGCGGCAGTAGGAGTACTTGCCTGCCCCCCGGGCCCCTGCTCCGGCTCACCCCCCGCCTCTGTGTCGTGCAGTGGGGAAGCCCATCGAGGTGCAGAAGATCCCGCAGCCCTCGCAGGAGGAGGTGGACAAGCTGCACCAGCACTACATCGACGAGCTGTGCAACCTCTTCGAAGCCCACAAGCTCAAGTACAACGTCCCCGAGGACCAGCACCTGGAGTTCTGCTGAGCACCTCCCCGGAGGAAGGAGTTGCCCCCAGGGGCAGGGCTGGCACGAGGGAGCCCGTGGGGGGCGCTGTGATCTGAGAAGGCTTCCTGGAAGCATCATCCCTGAAACACCATCTCCAGAGTCTTCCGAGCCTCCTGCACATCCAACCCCAAGTCCCAGCTGACGACGTGGGAGGGGCGACCAGACTCATCCTGGGACACCTGTGCAGGTTCCCCATCTCCTTGGTCTGCTCGGCCGGGAGATGGGAGAGAGGGCTGGAAGAGAACGGTTTGTGTCCTCTGTTGTAGCGTCACTCATTGGACAAAGAAGAGAGAGCAGCGACCGGTTACCAGGTTTTCCTTCCTCTGCCTTGAATGACAGTGAAAAGGAAGCTGCCAGCTCCAGCCCCTTCTACCAGCTCCCTCACCCTGCACCCTGGCTGCCCCAGCTCCTCCCTCCCGAGCTGGGTAAGCAGAGCTGTGCTCTGCCACTGGCGGTGTGGCGATGGGCAGGCCTTCCCACCCTCCCTCTGAGCCTCGGTTTCCCTGACTGGATAAGATGGCCTACGGGTCTCAGCTCTGACATCACACAGGCTGAGAGCTCCCCGAGGTACTTCTTACTTGTTCTTTGTAACGTCAGCCCCTTTGTCTGAGCACAAAGAAGGGGGCTCCACGAACTTTCATTCAATAAATGAAAGGGTTTTATGTTAGCCTTCCTCTCTTCTTCTCTTCCTCCTCACTCCCCAGTGCACAGGGATCTGACCCCCAGGCTGGCCCTGTCTCATCTTCCCAGAAGGTGAATTTCTGGGCTCAGATTGGTCCAGAGAAGGTCACGTGGATCTGTCAGCCCCCCAGTGTACCGCCTCGGGCCCTGTTCTGTTGGGAAAGAGGGGAATGGGTGGGTTGAGACACAGGGCAGACCAGGTCAGAGGATGAAGACCAGACGTGAAGAGTGAGTGTTAGTATGTGTCTGCAGAGGGATGGGGGGTGAGCGGGGACTGGTGCCTGGCGGAAGGAATTCTGGACTCCTGGGTTTGGGTCAGACGTGGAGGGGCAGGATGGCTGGGTAAAACCAGTCCTTGCGAATCCCCCTCTTCCGCCAGCAGGGAAGCAGGCTCTCTCTGCCCAGGCAGGTCATGCCAACAGCCACACCATGGCGCCTTTGGAGAAGTGTAAATAAATTTGAGTTCGAATCCTGGCCCATCCCTTTTTAGGAACTCTGAGCCAATCACCTCCAAACCTCAATTCAGTCATTGGGAAAATAAGGATTACCATGTCACCTCCGGTGTTGTGAGCATAATGCGATGCTGTTTTGAGATGGTAAGCCGCCCCGTGTCCTGTCGGGAGTGACGCAGAGCACGTGGAAGTGGGAGTCAGGTGATGAGAGTCCCTGTGTCCCTGGGAGGTGCCTGATACTTTGGGAGGAAGTGTGTGTACGGGTCACAGGAGGTACAAGAATGAAGAGTCAGGAATGACGATCTCCAGCCTGGGGGAGGCTTGGAGGAAGTGGCAGGGGCAGGGCCCTGCAGGAAGGGCAAGACTTGCCAAGGAGAGAAGTATCCATCCCCCGGAGTGAGCTGCTGCGGACGGTGAACCACCAGAGAGCACAATGGCTGGACCCCCGCTCCTCCCAGTTCTGTGGCCCGGCGGTGGCTCTTCCCCAATTTGCCCGGCTCTCATGCAGCTGCATTCAGCGGCAGTGGGTCGGCTGGGCTGGGACCGCTGGGGGGCTGGACCCGCTGGGCCTCTCTGTGCTGGTGTGGGCACTGGGCCCCGCTCCAGACTGACCCATCTCTCAGCATTCAGTGGGGGCTGGATTGCAAAAGAACGAGAGCAAGATTGCAAAGTCTCTTACATCCCAGGCTGCACGTGGGCACACAGCACCTCACTGCCTTCTGTCGGTCAAAACAAGCCCTGAGGCCACCAGATTGAGGGGAGAGGAATAGAGTCCCCTCCTCATGGGAGGAGCAGCAACGTCACTGTACAAAAGGCTGGGGACACACAGAGGGTTGGATAAAAGAACAATTTCTGAGGCGTGTCTGGGTGAGGGAACGCACACGGGAAGGTGCTATGCCAGGCTGGCCGGGAGGGCGGCAGAGTACTGTTGCCACCCTGAGGCCTGGAAGGTCCAGTGGAGGCAGCAGGTACCGGGTCAGGAGAGCCTCGGGCAGGGGCCGTTGTTGCAGAGAAGGAGGCAGGTGAGCATCCCCACTGAACCCAGGTGGAAGGTTAAGGGCCTGGGGCTGCCATCCATGCAGGTGGGTCTCCCAGAAAGGAGCAGGGTGGATACCAATGGACGGAGGACCGGAGGGGTCAGCAGAAGACAGAAGATGTCCCCCTCCAAGCCCAAGCTCCTTAGCCCACCCTTAGCCACTCTCCACCACCTGCCCAGTCCTCCCGCCCTCCTCTCTCCTCCTCCCTCTCCTCAGACGGAACCATTTGCACTGCCATATGTCAGCCATGCTCTTCCTCTCCCCCTTGGGCTTTGCCAATGACATGCCCTCTGCCTGGAATGCCATCTCCCCATTCCCATTGTCAAGGGCATTCCCACTTATCCTTCAATACTGGCTTCATCTATTCCAGGAAGCCTTCCCCATGCCTCTGGCTGACTGAGTTGGGGTTTCCCAGGCTCCCCCTTCCTCTGCCACAACACTCAGCACCTTGGCGGTCCCAGGGCAAACACTGCCTGCAGACACTCCCGCCTCCAGGACTCTCGGGCCACCCACACAAAGCACCAATGTCCTCTCCCAAACAAAACCCACTCCCTAAACTGGTCTCCGATGCCTCTAAACTCCTCCTTGGCCTGGCGTTGGAGGCCCTTCTTATTCTCATCCTCTTCCCTCCCTCCTTCCCACTTTACCTAGACCTTCTCCCCTGCACCTCACCTGCTGCGCCCTTCACTGCTCGCCCTTCTCTGCTGGCTGAACGCACTCAGACCTGCTGAGCTCTGGAGCACGCCGGTCCCTTCCCTCAGAACACACTTTCTCTTCCACCTGGTCAGCATCACTCACCTCCAGGCCGGTAGGGTGACCGAGGACTTGTGCTATGAACCACCACCCCCACCCCCACCCCATTCCTGTGAACAGGGCCTGCTGCCGGCTTACCACCTCTGTGCCCACTGCCCTGGGTCTGAGAGCAGGCGCCACCCTGATGCTGCGCCCTGTCCCCAGTCTGCTCTCCATGCTGCGGGAGTCCGCGGAGAGACAGGCATGGGTAACAGCAGGAAACGGTAGGGACAATGGGAATCAGCAGTTCTGCGCAGGAAGCTTTGGGCGACGTGGAAGTCACCGGAGGGGAGAAAGTTTTGTTAGTCGTTACAGTGTCCGGTGACAAACAATACTATCTCAATTTTGCAATACACTGAGTTTGCTGGCGCTATTTTTATACAGCGAAACAGCAACATTGCAAGAAAACAAGAGAGTTTAATAATAAAACATTCAACTTCATTAAAAAAAATTTACTTACCCCCACCCCCCAAAGATCACCACCTTCAGTAAACCTTAGCACACCCCACTCACCCTCAAACCCTGCTCTCTCCCCACTGCCCTGAGTCTGAGTTAGCTACCTTCTTTGAGGCTCCCTGTGGGGGTGTAAAGGACGGGGTCATTAGGGGTGAGTGGACTCCTCTGTCCCCGGTGGATTGGGAACCTCCTGAGAACCAAGACCATATCTTTCCCCCTCAGCCCCATTCCAGCACTCAGCACCAGACCTGGGGCAAGCAGGCACCAGAGGGGGTGTGAGTCGGTTGCATATATGAGCTCCCACTGGGAGCTTCCTGGTGGGGACACTGGGCCGGGGCAGGAATGAAGGGAGAAGACCACCTTGCCTCTAGAAGTGGTTAAATTAGCTCTCTATTGCTGCATAGCAAATACTCCAAACCTTATCTGCTTTAAACAACAAACGTGTATTGTCCTACAACTTCTGAAGGTCAGGAATCGGAAGGGTCTTGGCACAGACCTGTCATGAGGTTGCACTCCGTGACCGTTAGCAGGAGGCTTCCATCCCTCACCGATATGTGGGCCTCTCCAAAGAGCTGCCAATGACCCAGAGCAGGCCAGGCAAGAGAGGCCACACCGCCATGTGTGGGCTAGCCTCTGCGGCACACACCATCCATCCCGCCTTATTCTATCTGTTAGGTGTGAGTCGCCACGTCTAGCCCACATTCCGTACAGGGCTGCAAATACCAGGAGGGGAGACCCCTGGGGGCCAGCTTGGAGAACAGAAGCTGAGCTGGTCATGCAGAGGGTCCCCAACAGGTGGGGTAACTCTTGGAGCAGATGTCTGAGGTGAGACTGATGGCCGTGACCCCCTAACCCCCAACCTGGCTGGGATGGAGTCCAAAGTGGCCATTAGCCATGGGGGTGCCAGGATGAGAGATGGGGGATAGGGAGAGGCTCCAGGGGCCAGAGGGAAGACAGTTTTATTATTAAACTCTCTTGTTTTCCTGCAAGGCTGCTGCTTCCCTGAGGCCCCATGTTGAAGACATGAGCGGCACAAGATGGCCCCGAAAGCAATGATCTCAGAGGAAGGCTGCCCAAGAGGTTAGCCCAATAGGCGTATCCACCCAGGCCTTTGTGTGAGCAAAGAATGTCCTTTCACTGGGTTAAGCACTGAGATTACGAGAATTTGTTACAGCAGTGGGTCTCCCCAACCAACACAGTGGGCCAGGAGTTGCACATATAAGGACTCAATTTTTATTTATTATTTATTTATTTATTTATTTATTTTATTTATTTTATTTTTTTTCAGAGGAGAAGGTGGCCATCTACAGGGCACTACCCAGTGAGTTGTTGTTTTTTTTTAAATTAAATTATTATCTGTGTACATATTTTAATATTGCCCCCCCCCCATACATACCCTCCCTCTCCAGAGTTTTGTGTCCATTGGTTGTATTTATATGCATGTATACAAGTCCTTCAGTTGAGGGATTCAATTATTTTTTTTTAAATATATTTTTTATTGATTTTTTTTTTTTTATGGAGATCAAGAGAGGGAGAGCTAGAAACATCGATGAGAGAGAAA